AGACTTGCTATTATTTATATTTATGTGAATTGTATACTACCGTCTTGCATAAAGTAAGCTGAGGAAAAGAAAATTTTTAGTCGAGAGGAAATCTAAAAACCATGGTTACGGTTACAGTGAATAAATATCGAAATTTTCGAGCGGCAACAGCCATTTCTTTTCCCTGCGCAAATTGATCAACACATTGAAAAACCATAAATGGCGTTCTAACGATACACATATCATAAAATCACCGGCATAAAACATTTACAAAAAAAAAAAAAAAAAAAAAAAAAAAAAAAAAACATTATAAAGGACCGTAGACAGCACAAAAGAGGAAAGGGATGAAACCTTTGTTGGAATTCCACGTTTTCAACATATATAACATTCCAGTTAGAGTCATCTCCCGTAAGTTTGCAGTTTCGAAGCCGCTGCGATCCCTTGACTTCACTCGATGGATTTCTGGTTCTGGGATTATCTGAAATTCAAGGTGCACACATCAAATCAACGAAATTTATCCGAATTGAAAGATGCCATAAAACTTGAAGTTATACAGATTCTTCCTGCGATGTTACATTCGTCATGATTGTCAAAAGTCTCCTAAATGCAATGCGCTATCATAGCCGAAAGTGGGCACATTGAAAACTTTTCCTCCTCCCTTGTGTTGTCACTTGTCTGTTACCATACGTTGATCTTGATGGCCAAGCTATGGTTTGCAAATTTTTACGCTGATAATTTTCATCATATGTGTATTGTTTGAAGGCCATTTATGGTTTTTCACTGCGCTGATCAATTTGCGCAGGAAAAAAATGGCTGTTGCTCTTCAAAAATTTCGAAATGTTTTCACTGTAACCGTAACTGTGAGAGCTCTATTGTTTTTATTCATCACAATTTCAAGTGCATACCTTCAAATAACAATACTGAAATTTCATTTCGATTGGTTGAGCGGATAGAGCGCTAAGTATTTATTTCTTGGAGGTGTAGTTAAAAGCAGGAAAACATCAAATTTTGTAACAGTAGGAAACAGTACGGCGTCTACGAAATATTTAACACATTTATTTTAACTGATGAATTCTAATATTCCACACTAATTCTAATATTATTTGCTTACATATATTTAACTGATCATGTCATAATGCTAATTACGGTATGAGATTCATTTCATTTTTAAAAACCATCCTTTAATTAATCACATCACTTTCTTACTAATCTGATCTAGTTATAATGATCCTTCGCTTCCTACAGTAAAAAGATGTAAAAAAAAATTAGAATGGTTGTTGTTGGCGAAAATCGATTTAATTAGCACTTGGCTGGACACATTTTCTTTCGATCGTTGCATTCGAATATTGGATATAGCGAGTGGTTTTATAATGAATGTTGACTATATATGCATACATATATTGTCACACAAAATAATAATAAAACAATCTGATGTGCACACTACATGACTTCCTTGTACGGCCTATAAATTATACACATTTTTACTGCTTTTTATTTAAACTTATTTCCTCGAATTTCATTAGAGATGTATTTCTCATTCAATTAATTCATTTCTCACTTCGCGGCAAATCAAAAATACATAAAAACTCAAAATATCGTCATTAAAAATTGTAAAATACAGGAAAACATAAAATATCAAATGCAGTCAAAGCAGTTAAGAAAACAATTTTTACGATTTAAAATTAAAGTTTCTACGCAAAAACAAGCATTGCGGGCAGTGGACAAGAAAGCAGATTTTTCGGTGCACCAAACTGAAAAGTTTATAAACAAAAAGCGGTTCATTTGGCTTAACTAGCCACTTGAACTTTTAAATTGTTGATAATTCTACAACTATTGCATACAGATTAACTGAAGGCATAAAAACCACATAATTCAATGACGTCTAAAGCAAAATGTGTACAGTTTACCATTATATAAGAATAAAAAAAAAAAAAAAAAAAACCAAGCTCACTGAACCAGGTAACAGAGCGGGAATATGTACAATTGGTGCAGCCGATTGCAATGAAAAAGGGAGGTGCACAACTACAGGTTATAGTAATCCCATATACAAAAGTTCTACGGCTACTAGTTCTTGAGTTATGCTAGATACATACATACGTTCGTACGTACAGACTTCAAGAAAAACAAAATCTCTTCGAAATCCATTTTACAATCCTTTATGGCAAAAGCAGTCCTTTATTCTGTCCTTACATACAGATGTCATGCAAAAACATCGTTCAAATGGTTTCGAGAGCGATTAAAATGGATATTTTCGTTGAAATATGATACCCGAAATTTTCCGCAATTACAATACTTTGTACAAGGAAGTAAAAATAAACGATGATACAAAATAATAAAGCAATTTCAAAAATTTAAACTGTGTATCCCTCAAAATTTTATCATCTAAATATTTTAAGAATGTTTTAGATAAAATATTTAAGAAGGTGATTTTATATTTTATCATTCTTAAGCAGTTCTAATTGTGTAACTGAAATATTAAAATTAAATGACACTAAATGATGACTATATTTATATTGATTTTTCTAATATATTACTTATTATAATTACCATGATGATGTTTCTAATATATTACTCATTTTTTAACGACACCAGTCGATCGAATATCTTTTCATTTCAGATAATGAGCAATACACGCAATACAAGCTCTAACTGCTGAATTTGGGTAAGACTAACAAGGAAAGAATATATTCATAAAATGAATATCAGAAATGATTATATCGATCTGTTTGAAAATCCCCCTCTTCCAACCTTAAAACCTAGCAAAGCCTGTCATTTCGGAAGAGTTCAAACTAAAGCCAAAGAATGGAACAAACTGTCCAAAAAGTTTAAGCTTGGAAAAAAGAAAAGTGTATTCAGCCAAAGAAACTGAACTTGAGGAGGAAAGAGGAATTAGGATATCAAACAGGTAGTAAAGAAAAGTAAAGGTTGAAAGACCGTTACTTTCGAAAGACCGAAGTTCTTTCACTGAAATGAAATATTACTTTCGTACTTAAATTCAGAATGAGGTCAGGGCTGTCTCAATGCCACGGTTTCTTTTATTTTACTTTTTTGTCTTTCCAAATGAAAGCGAAGAAACATCGTGTGTTTCCAAATAAATAAATAGAGAAAATAAATAGATAAAAGAAAAAAAATAGTGAAAGGAAGGAATTTTTAAAAATCTACGATGGCAACTATTTAGAAGGAAATCGGAAAAATTTAATTTTTCCACCCAAAATTTTCTTATTTTTGTTCCTATCTAATGCTTTTCCCTCAATCCCTTTTTATGATAATCGATACCATCAGAAATTTATAACCGAAAAACAATATTAAATGCGTTGAACAATGAATCTATACCGCATTATGAATAATTAATTCTCTTCTTTCCTTTTTTAAATTCCAGTATTTCACGCACTTTCCTTGTTCACAGTATGTGCTTCAAAATATATATTATTATTATTAGAAATATTTATATTATTATTATTAGAAAAGTTTTTTTTTACATATCGTCTCCAAGGAACATAAATTTAATTAATGCAATGAATTATTGAAATAAATTCAGTATTTTAAATAAAAGGTATTTAGATTTCTATTGTAGTAAAAATATTTTAATAAGCTCTATAAAATAGTATTTAAAACCGTAAAAGTTCTGAATAGTAAAGGTAAAAAATAAAATTTAAATTACTAAAAAAGCAGCCATTGCCATTGACCGGAGATTAATTGGCTTTTCAAGAGGAAGAAACCAATCCACTATTAGTTAGCAAAAACTAAATTAAGTGAGAGTGTTTCATCATATATATATATATATATATATATTGGCAAACTTTTTTTTGTATGAAGCATACAAGAAAACTAAATTTAAGAACAAAATTTCACATGAATATCTTATAAACAAATTTCGCAGTGTCTACTACATCTTTTGAAACTAAACAAAAGTTTAATGTCATTTAAAAATGGTCAGAAATTTCAAATGCATAATTTTTGTGTCTATTAAATATGGGATCAAAAAGTAAATGCAATTTTATCAGGAGCAATAATAATACAAATCAAATTATGGTCGTTAATAAATTTTAAATGCTAAGCTGTGTCTGTACCTTAGCCTATTTTTGCCAAACATTGCTTCTTTACAACATTTTTAGTGGGTCATATCAATCGGAATTTTGTGTGGGTGTGTTGGTAAAGCAAAACACATTCGAACTATTTGTCTAAGAGGAGAGATATCTGTAAGGAGAACTTTATAACTCAAATTCACATGCACAGGAGAAAAATCATTAAAATGGCTGTGTAGCCAATCCTTTCTCTGGTATTCAAATCCGAGTCGAATTACCAGTGTTTAGCAATCTTATCTACTCACTCAGCGGACCCAAAATCGTGAATGCTCATAGTGAAGATATTCTCCACATTTTGGAAACCACTGGCACCGATTATTAGGTTGCAATAAAAACAATGCCGCCCATAGGCTTTTTCCCGCTCTGTGCTAACTCTACGACTTCTAAATTCCGCAGCCTGGCTCGGACGTACCTGCTGCATAAGCTTTGGAGCTAGTCATGTATGAAGATTTGTTCTTGATGAATGATGCTAATTATAACAGCTAACCCTCTAGAATATTTCTTCGCACAGTTACATTTTTCTTCGCAGCATTAATTGCTTTAAGACAGAAAAGATTTTGATAGTAATAACTTTATTATTTGGCTGTGGATGATGCTAAAATTATACTTAGCATGCCGATTTAAGAATCTGTACAAAATATACCATAATTTCATTTTCATTTATTTTTATCCTGTACAATGTCTTTATCTTAAATTCGAAAAAAAAAAAAAAAAGAAAAACACACACACATAATAAATGTCGTTTAAAATATATTTCAATTGCAAAGAAACGTGTAACGCCATGTGGTGCTTAATATTAACTGAAAAAATTAATATATTTATCTCACATCAAATGAGTTAAATTTTAATCAAATGAAGTTAAATTTTAAATCAAATTAGTAGGATTTATTTTTTAACATTTTTTTTTTTATTTGAGAGCTATAATTTTTTTCTTACCTTAGACGTCAAGGGATCTCCACAAAATGCAGACTCGATTGTCACAAATCGTTGGCTTACAGAATATAAATCTAGTTGAAAATAAGAGATACTGAATAAAAATCAAGATCATGATTTCAGTATTATTGTTACTAGTAGATCAAAATCATTCGGATGAGATCAAAGAAGGTGTATTATCAAATATAAAGAATGAGAAATAACATAGCAAATATAAATGTGTTTAGATTGAGAGATTTACAAGAATAAAAGGATTTTCCTTAAAAACATGTAATTCAAACATTTGGAATTAAATTTTGCACTAGCAATCCGTTTATTATTTATAAACATAATTCTTTGGAAGCTTAATTCTCTTAAATGAAAACTAAAAGTTAATTATCTTTTCCTTTTGTAGCGGTATAATAGTTAAGTTGCATCAAGTTTTTGTGAATTTAAGAATTTATAATTTCTTTCAGAGTAAGAATGGCTACTTAATATTAATTCATATTTAATTAAGATATCAACAAATAAAAAGAGAGGTTAATTTAGCTATAAGTCAGCTGAAAGAAAATACGGTAAAGCAAAACAAAATACAAATAAAATAAGACGAAATTTATAAGCCAATATAATATAGTAGGCTACAAAAATTTGCTTTTTGTGATTATGAAACATGAAATACCACGTAACATTCAATAACCACCTATGGATTTGATTGACGTCTCGTTGGATAACAAGTCCCTTTGACCTTTAAAAAAAAGCTAATTTTTTCATTTAATTAACATTGAAAGCGATTAAAATGTCAAAACTTCTCCGTTTAACTTTTTGTCAAATCTTGTAATTGAGAATCTGGTATTCGTACATTTCAATTTTGATTTAATAATTTTCGTTTTTCTCTAAAGGATGATTAGCTAAATTACCACTTCTTTAAATGTGTTACCTAATTGAGAATTAGCATTTTATAATGATTTTAAATATACTTCATTCTTAAATGTAGGTCAGATTGTTACAAATTATAAGTTTCAGTTTTGTGAAATTAGTATTTTCGTTATATTTAATTTTGTTCAAATCAAATTAGACACTAGAATGGAAAACTAATGTTTATTAATTAGTTTAGAATTAAAAATCAATCTACTGGTTACTGTTTGTATGTAATTAAATATTACTAACTGTTTAATGAATCGAATGTATCAAAATGAGAAGAGAAATGAAGATATCATCAGCAACAAGCAAAAACCGCGAATCTGCATTTTGGGGGGGGGGTTCAGTTAAAAGCATTTTCTAGATTGTTAATGCTTTAAAAAACATTGATTGATTGATTCTATAAGACAACTATAATAAAGTCGTAGGATCATTATTTATCTAGAAACTAAAGTTAAGTCCTCCAGATGTACAAATACACAAATGCAGAAGATGATTTTTAAATAACCTTTTCATTTGGTCTAAACTAAACATAAAGGCACGTCTTGGGATACAGATGAAATCACTACTCGTGGCTATTCAAATTTAAGCAATAACAGACAAAATTCAGACACTGCTAACGTTAGTCTATGATTATACATTCAATATAATAAATTATAAGTTGGCACATTTGTTTTTTACAGCAGCGTAAGTTTAGAGTGTGGGTTAGTAAAAAAAGTGACAAAGCCAGAATATCACTTTTAAATAGGGCTGCCGAGGAATTCGAACAGCACGAAGGTATTGCCAGAAACGTTCTCTGTCCTTAAGATTCAAAACTCTCAGCTTAAATACTTTCAGGGCCCACCAGCGGCTGAGCGGTAAAGTCACTGAACACTGGTAGTTCGGTTCGAGGTTCGAATCCCGCGAACGGGCTGGCTGCATGGGCGTTTTCGTAGTTTTGCCCATGTGTAACGTGTATACGAGTCAGTTTCCCTTAGAAAGTCCTCCACGAAGGCATCCCTCCCCTTAGGCAGATAGCTCTAGTGTGCTTTGCCATAATTAAATAAACCAAACTAAATACTTTCAAAGCTAATTTGAATTCTTGTGAGAAATACGGAAAGAAGGTATAAAGATGAAAATAATAATAACTGGTTAAATAACAGAAGCCACGCTACAGATTAGTACGTAAAAATACTAATTTTTTTAATATGTATATTTTTAATATATATAAACCCATACTTCTGAAAACAATGCTTTTACATATATGTGGTTTTGTCAAAGCGTCAACGATATTATCAACATTATCATTCTTATTTTATGTCAAGTACAGAAGTCCTTCTCTCCTTTTCTGGACTTGCTTTTGCTTCTTCTATAAACATTCTTCAAGAGAACTTACAGATTTTTTGCTTGTGCCACTAAAAAAATTCTTTTCTTCTGGCCCATTTATTCTTTAATTGTTCTCCTTCTAACATTCTACTTCGAGTAATTTTGGGGTATCCCTGTTCAATTCGTAAGTCAAATGTTCTACCTTTCTACATCATGTAATCCCAGGATATTTCTATTTGCGTTATCTTTTAGAAATCTTTGCTTCTCTTTCATAATAAATATGGTGTGTCCAATTTCTCCCTGGGTTTGAGCAAGATAACTTGCGATTTCTTTCAGCATAATGTGGTAACAGGAAACAGCTTGCTGTGCGACACCATAATTCCTCTTGTTACGAATCTTGCATACAGGAGTTAGAAGTAGTCATATTTAAATACGTTTGAAAGAAAAATAGCGTCAGGATAGATAATCTCCATTAATCCTCGTTTATACTGAACACCGAGCCAGGCAGGTACCTAGCTAGAATATCAGCAGTCATTTCGTTTGACATTGTTTCTAAGCGTTCTGTCGACATTGTATTTCTCTCCTTCATTCCTGGCTTAACTCTTCTGTATTGGTAGAAGCCAAAATCTGCTTGCTTCAAATATCTAAAACGCCCGTATATGAGAAATTTTATTGGAGTGGATTTCCTTTCCCCATACCAAGTAGAACGTCACAACTTTTAACAACAACCTACCTTAAGTGAAGCGATTACTTCTTCCTCGAGTATCTTTGTAAGGTTTCACCCACTCTATGCAGTTTTCTTTTAGGACAGGATTGCAACTGCGAGTATCAAAAGCTAAACGTTAGCAAAAGAAAGGAGAGAGAAGGAGCATTCAAAAACAGAGCTACTTTCAGTCGCTTCAAAAGCATAATTGGCTTCTCACAATTCCCGAGACCAATGAGCCATGCACTAACATGATAAGGAAAAGCAACATTTAGAAAATGTACACAGGCGTTCTGGCGATCTGTTAATGCCTGAATGCTGGGGCGTTTCGGGCGACATCGCAGTAAAAGAGTTAAACTACCCGTTGTAGTTTAAACGTTCTCAGCAAGCGGAATTATTCGTTTATGATGTTGAATGATATTCTTCAGCTCTTCAAATATTTACACCTATTTGTTTTTCTTATCTTTATTGGAGGAAGAGCGGCGGTACTCTCAGCTCAAGAAAACTGGTCCGGATAATTCAGAATGGACTGTAACTCTTAATTAAACTAACTATAATTAAACTACACTATAATATCTCATTATCTTTATTTTACTCATTCGTGGAAGACACTCAGGCTTCCAAACTCACTCTCCTTCGCCATTGAAGCTATTCTTTTGTAAACAGTAACGATGGCAGGGCCATCTGGCGTCAGAGGAATTTAACAAGAATGAGCATACTTTTCCTTCGGCATTAGGCTATTGCAAAGTTAGCTTACTCTCTTAAAGATTGTCACTTTTGGCTTTTCCGCAAATTGGATTTACAACTTATTTCTTTGCTTTCCAGAATTAAAATTTAGGTATATTGTTTCTAATTATCCTCGATTTTACACATTCCCTCTTTTATTTTCTAGTTGGACCATTAAGAATGAGAATATTTTATAACTTTGCATCTGAATTAATTGTGCTAGTGCTACATAGTCAAAAAAAATTCTTATGTTTTATACATACATTTTATTCAGAAAAATCCGAAATTTGCGTTTTTATAATTTATAAATTAAGTTGTTTAAAATAATTTGATTATAAAATTTAAAAAAAAAACTTTTAATTCTGCTATTTCTTCATCTTTATAATTATCATGCTAATCATAAATTATTATTGAATGTTTATGGAATTTAAAAGAAAAACTGAATAAAAATTTAAGGATTTTCTAAAACTCGTGTTTTAATATATCATACTCAATCATTAAAATTTACCATTGTAGAAATATGCACTGTTAACATACCAAAAAGTACATAACCTTCCCCCTCCCTCGTTTCGAAATTGGACTTGTGGAAGAGATTCTGCTCTGTAGCCTTTGACCTTGGATTTGTGAATCCCCACTGGCTGGGATTCCGAAAAACAAGTTCGTCATGCTGGACCAAGGAGGTTAATATGTTCAAATTTATTGATGAGTCTTTTTTTGGGGAGGGGCACAAAATTTTCTTCCCATGCTACTATGCTAAATATTTAACTTAAAAAACAAACTATATTCATCTATAGACATATGATTAGGATCTTTTTCCTGGACCCCTGTCTATTGTCAAGTATATTACTAGGAAAATAAGTCACATTTTATCGCAAATTTAATTTTAATACGAAAGTTAAAGCATATATTTTATACTGAAAAAAAAAAAAAAAAAAAAAAAAAAATGCAATGCTTGACCTGATTGAAATTTCTATATTTTTACATCACACAGCACGAAGTACAGTTTGTCTATCATAAGAAAAGCTCTCGCCAGGTAGTCTGAAGCTGTCTGTTGCCGTAAACAAGCCTTGACCCATTTTCCGTAGGGGTGTCTTGAAGACGAATGATAAACTCTTTTCCCGTCAGCCAACAGTCGCCAAAAACAAAATAACAATAAAGCAACCCTTGTTTCTCCCCTATTTGAAATATACTAGCCTTGTTGCTATAACGACCGTCACCCGCAAGACACTGTGGCGGGAGCTATTGTTCTCGTAGACAGACAGTAGCTTTTGCTATATCTCGCAAAGCATTTCTTTTCATATCACCCCAGGACATTTTCGGAATGTTTGCTAGCAATTTGGAATACTGTATGCATATCGCCAGGAAAATCTGACAGTTTTCAAGAGCTACCTTTAGAAAATGTCCCAAGCATATTCAAATTTGTAATATTTTTTTAATCTTCTTAAACGATATACCTGAAGCATTTAAGATCATAAAAAGCGAACCGAGCCATGGAAAAGACTGTGTTCTGATGGTTTGAAGCCTAGTTTCCTACATTACATTCTTAGAATAATATTTAATGCACATTCTTTGAATATATATGAAAATATTCCCAGCATAATGCAAAACAGGTGGACATTAATACATTCCATATAAATTTTAGTACATGATTGGAATATTATGGAGTTTTCCTGCAATATTTTATATTCACTTTGGGATATCTGAAAGATATTCTTGGGCAGTGTAGAACATTACCATATTTAAATAGCATATTTAAAAATCAATGCCTGCATGCCCAAGAACTGCAACTAACGAAAACGAAAGAAAATGTCCCCTGTATGTTAACCATCATATTCGATTAACTCACTACAACTTTTTAGGAAAACAAGACCCTTTCAAATTCCTGTTAGCTCAGGGCTTAATTTCTAAGATTAGAAGTGCCGGAGCCCTATGGAAGACCGTCAGAAGAAAGAAACAAGAGTAAATAAATAAATAAAATGACTATTAAAATCATTAATAATTTTAAAATTAAATAGTTAATTATTATCAAATTAATTAATAGCTATTTAATTAATGCTTATAAATTCTTATTTAATCAATAATTGTTATATTAATTCATATAATTTAATTGATCATTATTAGATAATTAATTATTCTTTATTGAATAAAATATTAAATATTGAAGTAATTAACTAATTAAAATTAAATAAAATGTAAATAGATAAATAAATTGAAATTTAATACGCGATTTAATATAATTTTATTGTTAAAATAAAATTTTCGAGATAAAATTTCTACTGAAATTGTTATTCAACTACATAAAAGAAGTGCCGCAGCCTTCTTATTCAGGGTTCCGGTGCGTTCCGGCAAGAATTATGATTTATTACAAAACTAAGAAGCATCGGAGCCGACATCCAGTGGGTTCCGGCCCAATTCATCCGCATATGAGTGAGGGGACTTTACTTAACGTTTCATGAGTTCGTATTTCTAGAGTATTGCAAGGTCTGCTTATTGTTAAACTAAAATGTTATGAATTCTAAATTTTGTTCCGTTTAAATTGTGGTTTAGTTTTAAAAAAAGAAATACCGGTGCTCGTCTTATTTAGGGCTCCGGTACGCTCCGGCTAAAATTGTAATTTATCTTAAAATTTGAGAAGCATCGGAGCCGGGCTCCGGTGGGCCAAAGAAAGTCTATGTAAAGAAGGAAAGGCTCCATAGACGTAATGTAAACCAGTTTGTTTTCTACGCCGCTAGAAAGAAGAGGAACGATTCGCCAAGAGATTTGGTGACGGAAAATGTTGGCAAGAATTTCCCCCTTTGTGATGTACCTGGCCGAAATTTTCCACCTCCGCCACGTGTACAGGAAATTGAGGAACACGGGTTAAGATGAATCGTTCTTTGACTTTTCGCGATCGAATTTTCGTGCTTTTTTGCTTTACTAGTTGAACTTGTATTATCCATATCGTAGTTTGATATCTGATTTTATATCTGCCAATATGTAGGAAAAAAATGGAGTCACACAACTTTAAACTCTTGATAGACATGACCGTCGAACCTGTTCCAACTTCGACATCAGCTTCGAGCTTTGGCGCTTTTCGGCGACAGATATTTCACGCATGCGCAGTTGTGTCCCTTTTCGTTCAGAGGGAGCCACCCCTGCTGCTGCGAAGCTTTTCTTCTTAACAATACATATTTTTTGGGTGGGCTCCGGCGCAATTTAAGCACTGTGTTAGCTCTAAGCAAAGAATCTCTAAGATTTCTCTAAGATTCTTTCTTTGGCTCTAAGATGACAATAAAACTGTCACCACAGGAATGTTCTAAAAAGTACCACAGCACTGCACGGTTGGGGGTTTTCAGACGGAGCCCTGCAGTGGTCTTTTGTTCCCCGGTCTTTGTGAAAGGAACCCTGCCAGGAGCCATACCACTAGCGATGCACAAGATAATCAAGATCTCATTTCTTATTGCACCGGACAAATTTTCTTTCCAGAAAAGAAAAGTGGAACAAATTGACGTCCTGGAAGCATTAATAATCCATATCGCACGGTGTTTGTTTCACACGAACAACTGTTTCGGACAATTTTTCTACCTGGTTTACTATTGAAAGAAAGACCTTCATTTTTCCTTCATTCCCCCCCCCAAAAATGCAAGTTGTTCGTTTCCAAGCAATCAGCTATCAGCTTGTTTGTGATGGGGAACCAGTTTTCCCTGTGCTAACCCCAAAGCGGTCTATGGGGATTGGCTGTTGCGACACAGAGCAGAAAAATTGTTCCAAACAGTTGTTGTTCTGAAACAAACCGACGTGTGATAGCAGCCTTTACTGGTTTGGCAACTATGCATCAAGCTTTACTATTTGATTTCGTTTAATCTTATCACCAAATTTATTTTTTTTTCTCTACTTTTTTAATTCTTCTATTCTCATTCCTATGCAATTCATACTGGAACTAGTTTCACGTGTTCGCTTATTCAATTCGCTAGATAATCAGAAGTTACTAATTTATAAATTCAAAGCCAGAGCTTAAATTGCGCCGGAGCCCGGCTCCAAAAAACTTCTTAGTTTTTGGGATAAATCAATAATTCTAGGCTAAGCCCTAAATAAGAAGGCTCCGGCACTTCTTTTATGTAATTAAACAACAATTTCAGTAGAAATTTGATCTTGGGAAATTTTATTTTTTGCAATAAAATTATATTAAAATATCTCATTAAATTTTAGTTTATCCCTTTACATTTTATTTAATTACCTTAACCTTCTTAACCTTTAATTATTTAAATAAATAATAATTAATTAATTATTTAAATAATTAGTAGTAATTAAATAATCATTGATAAATATTGATTAACTAATTATTAATTAATTTGATAATAATTAACTACTTAATTTTTAAATTATTAATTTTATAGGGAGGAGGGAAAATATGGAAATAATTTAATTTCTAAAGGACTCTGTTACCGTAAGAACATAACAAATGGAAAGCAGTAATGGATAAACTACTAGTAATTATCCCCAAATTATTTCTTTAAAAGAAACATCCAAAATATGCAAATATTATTACGTATTCCAATAAGAATACGTAATAATATTTGCATTAAAATCTCTAATAACTACCTTCCTTTCTACTTTCTTGTAACTTGAATCGCACTCTTTCGTACTGTTGTCTCTTCAACTTCTTAGGCCTCAAATCATTTATAAATAATTAGAGCACGTGAATGTGCAGTTGATTTAACGAAATCTTAATGCCAATTCTTCATGCTGACTCTACGAAATCTTAAGGTCAGTTTGCTTCGCTGTGATGAGTCAGTTCTTGTATTAAGCTGACATGAAGTTCAACAGTTAGAAGCGAAAGGTTCGACATGACTTTCGCAGATAGTCTGAGAGAGTTTGTCTTTGTTAGTAAGGCGAAAAGAAACACTACATGGATGAATCCATTTTAAAATTTAGGGAAATTCTTTCTCTGAAGGCACAGAGGAAGGACAAAATTAAGCGAATATCTTTAACATTTTTAGAACCTGGCACTAAAATGTTAGAGAAAAACATACGCTAGGAAAATACGGTAATTATCACGAAGGTCAGTTATATGATTATTATCTTTTTAAAATATTTATCAAGACAGAATAATTCTCTATGCTAAAGTTGGTTGACATCTATGATGATGAAACTATACCTGTACTGTGACCTTTATAACTATTTTAGCACATTATTCAATTATTACTTGATATTCGATTTTTTTCCTGATGTTACTGTTGTTTACAAACGGTGTTTTTATAAGCTGTTGACTGAACATATGTGGATGCCGCTAAACTATTCAAAAATCTTACCCGGTTGAGGGTGTTCAGCAGGATCTGTCAATCTTTCAGGACTGTTTTTAAAATCCCACCAAGGCCTCATCATTGGTTTTGGAAATTCATCTTTGACGAGACATATACTGTAAAAAGTGATAAAAATTTGTCGTGCAATAATTAAAAGAAATATCATATCTCATTTTGCAATGTAATTTATATTTTATAACACGAAATAATCCCCCCCGCAATGAACCCCATCATTCAGTGAATATTAGAATACAAACGTCAAGATTAAACGATAAAGTTAATTACTTCTAACAAACATTAAACAAACTTCAGGGCTAAGCAGAAAGATTCGTTAACCGTGAAATAAGATACAGTGTTATTTTTCACGCTTCAAAAAGAATATCATAATATTCACTTAAGTTATTAGTTTTTACTACATAGTACAAACTAGCCGTATTCTACAATGTTAAGCGCAGTCGATACTCGTTAAAATGCGCTTATTACATTTCGATGACACCAATCATTAATTTTTTGGCAATTTATGTCAAACAGTGATAGGAATAATTATAGATGTATACATTTATGAAGCTAATCCTGGTTGTCATAAATTACCTTTAAACATTGCAATTTGGAAATAAAAATAATAGCTTAATTTGATTAGCAATTCTAAAGTTTTGTTGTCTCCGAATTCTTCCGAACGAAGTTAATTTTAACTTACTAGTTTGATCTTTAAATTTCTAAATTAATACTTATTTTTACTTTAAATTTAAGGATTGTATCATTTTTAACTTCTTAGGATTTTGAGTTACTTTTTTAGTATGTTCTAAAATATATTTTTGTTTTTGAGATTGAAATTGAGAGTGTAAGGGATATATCTTCTAAGGTAAGCATCCCGTTCGGTTTAATTGTGTTCTTAGTGAGAAACTTTAATTCAAAGATTATTTGCTATTTATTTTGTTTAACAGGATTCTTTTGGCTTAAATTGACTAATGTCATTATTTGGAATCAGACTTAATTGTGATTTATGATTTGGATCTAGCAAATAATATGATGCTTACTTAGAAGTAAGATGAAACACTTTCTCCTAATTTAGTTGTTATTAATTGATGGTAGATTGGTTTATCCCCTTGATAAGTCGACTAATCTAAAGTCAATGACAATAGCTACTTTTTCAATACTTAAAATGTTTATTTTTGCGGTTAAAGACTTTTCTTAGCAGATTTTTTAAGCAAGTAGATATTAAAATACTAATTTAAAATATTAATTAAAATTCTGACTAAATTTTTTTTCATTCAAGGTTTTTAAATTGAATTTGTGTTCGTTGGAGACGGTATATGGAGATTTTTTTATTATAATTTCCTAAACAATATTGATTAATTGATTATATTATCTCCTAAGTTTAATTAAAGTAGAATTATTTTGAAAGAGTGAATCCATACTGGTAAGTTATATTTTGAAAGATGTTTTGAAGTAACTTGAAAGTAAAATGTTAATAATGTTTTAACGGGGACTGGAATTAAATCATCATGAAGAACAAAATTTCAATTGTAAAAGGAAAAATTAAATTAAAAACATGTAATCATTGTCATTGATCGGAAATTAGTTGACTTTTCAAGGGGAACAAACCAACTCCCGTCAATGAACAATAATTAACAAAAATACGTAAATACGAAGGTGTTTCGTCTTTACTCGAGTTATAAGGTAAAGCCAAATCGGCAATTCTAGTCAGGCCAAATATTTCCGCGAATAGAAGGGATTACGAACCAATACTCATACTCAAAGAACTTATTCTTATGAAGCATTTTAGCCAATTCAATTTGGAGTAAAAAGCAATTTCTGTAGAGAAATCCGAAAAAACTCGAGTAACCGTCCCCGACACCCTCATGTTTATGCATTTGAGTTCTATATTATTTGTAAAAATTAAACATTGGAAATTGTCATTATTAAATAGAATTCAAAGTAAAGTTGAAATAAACATAGAAGATTACAATATACCGTATATACTCGCGTATAAGTCGATACCGCGTATAAGTCGACCCCCCACTTTCAAAATCGATCGAGAAACTTCGAAAAAAATTTTTTAAGTACTACATTTATTAATTTTTTAAGTACTACATTTATTCATCTGAGGAAAAAGTAAATATACAATAAAAAATACCTTGGTAAATAAACAAAATCAAAATCCTTCAACGTGTGATTCATGGTCAGATTCGCCAAACATTTCATAGAACTCTTTTGTCGTCATTGGCTCGTCATCATACATATTTTCAGTCTCGAACTCTGTATTGTTACAATCACTACTACAGCCTTCGTCGTCATTTTCACTTTCAAAAACAGCATTATCTTCCGTGCCGTCTAGTTCGTTGCTAATACAACATTTTTTAAATGATTTTATAATCATTCAGAGGGTATTTCGCAGGCATTCGCATTTTTCAGGGGCAAAAAAATTAAAAATTTCCAAAAGTGTCCACAATTTTGGCCACCACTGTAGTTCGTAACATAATTTAAGTCATGAAATTACTTCAAGTAAGTGACTTATTTGATGAGTCGTCCAATTCGAGTGCGGGAAGAAAACAACTGCATTATACAAAGAAATTTTTGAACTTCCGATTCTTTTAATTTTTTATGGCCCCGCGTATAAGTCGAACCCCCACTTTGAAGTCTTTTTTTTTGCCCAAAATATCTCGACTTATACGCGGGTATATACGGTAAGATAAATAATGCAAACTTTGTAAAAACAAATTAAAAATAATATAAAAATAATATAAAAAAATATAATAAGAACAGTGAATGTACATGAAGATATAAAGGCCAGAAAAGGTATTAAGTAACTACATTCTTTATAGTGGGGAGTTGCAAAGTGGTTCTCTTCGTGTCTGACTCATAAGTGTAGGGTTGTCCGAAATTAGCAGCAGTGGGGGCTTTGAATAATATCAGTCGGTAAGACTTGGGTGAAGTAATTTATGGTAGTGGGTGGGACTCGGAAGTCTTGAGGGATGTATTATGTGGAGTTCTTATTTGTGAGTGAAAACTGTTTGTTAAGATTTTTTGAAAATACTAGTGAATGGAAATTAATTAATTCCTGGCTAATTGTCGTGTCGCAATGATTAAGAATTTAAGAAAGGAAAAAAGGAATTTTCACTGTCCAAGAGTTATTAGACAGACTAAAGTCATGAAATAGGCCCATTTTAGTAACAGTATAACACCATAAGTTCTGAACAATATCTAATATACTGATAATTACACTATATACAATCTTCAACTGATAGTCATAACTTAACTTATACCGCCTTCTAGTTAGGAACAAATATATATCCCTGTAATGTTGGGCGCTTCCAACTTGCACGCAACAATAGTGGTGACTGCTAAGAACTGGAAAGTAGACAAAGTTCTTGAGAAGGGTTTAAATCCCTTTTTATTCAACTTTAGAAATTACAAATGCGTGCTCTTGACGCTCACAAACTACGCCGACCCGGCGGTAAAATAAAATAAGAAGAAACTAAAAAGAATAATAACAAGTGACTAACTACGAGGCTCTCTAAACGTAACTAACCTCACCGCGTTTCTAAGATACCGCTGATAATTCAGCAAACTTCTGAATATTACGTTGAAAGATTAACAATCTGCCGAGGCAAGCACACAGGCCGAAACGCGTGGTTCTTCAATTTCTAACTAGCCACCTCCACGCTCGTGAAGCAAGAAAAAGCACACTTTCGAACTCGTTTCCCTTCTATTTAACTCAGATTACTTCCGCTGACAATTTGAAATCCTTTGCGCGTTCTACTAAAATTTACATACTCTGGCATTGGCAATTCCAGGGAAAAGTAAGGCTTGAACAGGAAAGATAGTTTAAACTTAAAATAAAATTAGTTAAAATAAATATAAACCCTACATTTGCCGCTGCCAGAATTTGGTAAAACTTGGAAGCAGGTCCTAGAAACGACCTGTTGAAAAAGTTTCCACAATTCTGAACTAAATTTTAAGAGCCTCGTTGACATAAAAAAAAAAAAAAAAAAAACTCTTTATCTCACAAAAGGTAGAATAAATTTCTGTAGATACTTATTTAATTCTCTCTTCTTACAGCAACCTTTCCTGGACTTCAGCAATCAATCTGTTCTCTTCCTTCCAGCATCTGGAAGGAATAAGTATCAGTATCTTTCTAAATACATTATAATTTACACTTTCTTGACACTGAATAAGTTTTTGTTTTTGAACGATTTATTTTCCTTAGTTACTGCTTAATTCACATTCATTCAAGTATTCAAACATGAATTTAACTTTACCCTGGCTCTCCACCATGTGTGGTGTCAAACGGGAATATTCGTGTTTTAGTATTGCAACACTTCCCTAACCACAATGATTTGTTAGAATTCAACGACCAAATAGACACACCTTACTCGACATTCTACAAACTCGATGAGCTACTTTTAACATTCTTAAAATTCAAGTGTAGGTGGAGAACCCTACAAAAACACATTCATTCTAAATTCCCCCTCATTCATCTTTAGACATGCAGGCTTTCGCTCTAAAGCATGATTTTATCTACAGTTTAATACTTAAATTTGAATTCATTGCTTTTGAGCATTTACTTTTAGCATCTAAAATTTTATGCTTCTAGACTAAATTCTACTTTTACATAACTTTCAAGTATTTACGTATATTTACAAAATTCTAATACATATGATTTTTACAATTTACCATAAAATGAATAAGAGAAAAATAAATTTTTACTTTACTCATTCTTCGCCAAGCTGGCGGCACTGAAACTAAAGTTTCTTATTAATACAAGAATACGAAGTTATTTTTATCTTCGACCAAATTTTGGCTTTAACATAACAGAATTAGTCTTTCGACCAACAGAAACTGCTTGTTCTTAGATTTTATACTTAAAGAAAATAATACTTTTGCCTTAGCTCAATAAAGTAAAACAAAAACAAGTCTCAACCGAGACAAATTGACTTCCGTCAAACATAGAACTTCGTATTTACGCATAACATTTCGGAACAAAAGAAAAAAATTTTATAGAAGATTTTAACTTATCTTTGAGTTTTCGATGATTGGAACTCCGACATCCTCTTCTGGCAGAACTGCTCCCACGTTATGGAATTTCATCGACGTCAGTCGTCTCCTTTGTGGTCCTTCGAGTGT